GGGGGGGGGGGGGGGGGGGGGGGGGGGGGGGAGCAACACAGTCTTGCACAAGTTCTCCGCACAAAGACTAGTGTGAATTCATTATTTCTCCATTAGCATCCGCCCCAGCTGTGAAAACAGGATGCAAATACAGGCTTCTCGATCTCACTTTGATTATTACTTATCTAGTCCAAGAAGGATTATACCTAGTATCTTATTTCAAGATGTACAATGTGACTGTAAGCTACATTTCCCCCTCACTAAACCCTTTGCATACCTTTGGTACAAATGGCATTGGGCTTTGTGAACTTGCCCGAGGCATGCTATGCAAATTACAGATAATTACCATCATTGTTTTGAAGATCCAAGGATTTAATCCTCCTCAAGCACGCACATTGTTTTGTGTCCTGTTCAAAACCCACATACCTGCAGGTGGCACTTAACAGTTTAAAAAAAATCCTCCAATCCTGATGACTGCGGTGATGTGTCCTTGAAGGGTTTCCCCCCCCCCCCTTGGTGACAATACGGTCTTTCTTCATGATGGGCTTGGGTAATTTTTTTTTTACTTCACAGTCTAACTCAGGGGTAACTCAGTCTAACTCAGGGGTAGTCAACCTTGACTCTTTTATGACTCGTGGACTTCAATTCCCAGAATTCTGGGAGTTGAAGTCCACGAGTCATAAAAGAGCCAAGGTTGACTACCCCTGGTCTAACTTATAGCCTTGGTCTCTGATAACTGCAGTATTATTTGTTTATTTGTTTGTTTGTTCATTAAATTTCTGTGCTACCCATCTCACCGATACAGCAACTCTGGGCAGCTTGCAATATAATAAAAAGTTATAAAAATACTGGAAAACAATTAAAATTAGAAAAATTGAATAGAAAATTTAAAAGCTAAAAACCAAGACGATGGGCAGCTTAGAAGTGGGGATCTTCTCTACCTGGTCATCTACCCCCAATGTAGCAGGCCCCTATTGAGGCCCCAGGCCAAGTGACAGAGCCATGTTTTTAAGTTCTTCTGGAAAGCCAGGAATGGGGGGGGGGGGGCGAACCTCACCTCCAATGGGAGAATATTCCAGAAGGCGGAGGCCACAGCAGAAAAGGCTCTCCTCCTGGACCCCACTAGCTGAAATTCTTTGGCCAACAGGATCCGAAGTAGGCCCTTTCTGCTGGAACGAGTGGGGCAGGCTAGTAATAGTAGTAGTAGTAACAGCAGCAGCAGCAGTACTACTACTAGTATACTAACAGATCCGACTCTGGTTCCCTCTGTTCAGCCCAGGCCAGATAGTAATGCTGCCTGCTAAGGCTTAGCTGTTTCAGGAATGAAATTTCAAGAACAGAAGGACAAATCACAGCCCCAATAACCATCCCTCTCCCCAATGCCAAGTGTCATCATTTTTAATTCATTAAGAATAATAGCTTAGAACAAAGCTATGCCGTTTTTAAATAGTTCAGGACGTTATTTGAAAGTAAAAATAACTGCTGCCAGGCCCAAACACAAAGCAAAGCAAAACATAATGCAATGGTGAGTATTTCAATTAAGTATGAAAGTGCAACGGTGAGTCCAAGACTGAGACGGTACAATGTGGCTTAAACTTGTATTTTTTCAAATTTGGCAATGAGTGGCTTTGTGCTCCCAGAATTCACGATGACTGGTAAATTCTGGGAGCTGAAGTCCACTCATCTTAAAAGTTGTCAAGTTTGAAAAAAAACACTGGCTTAAACTTTGTTGCTTGGGGATTCTGGAGAACACCAGGTTGAAGAAATCTGGCTTTAAGTATACCATTTAGAAAACATGTAAGTATTTTCGTCTAGGTCTTGTGATAACCGAACAAAAACACCAAAGAGCTTGGGGGCCTCTTGGTTGCACCGGTATTTCAAATAACTGCCATGTTGTTTCTCCTTGGGCTCAAGAGAGTCATGAACTAGACTGAACAGAGGCGTTGGGGACTTTCCACAACACAAGACAAAAGGCGACAGGAGTTATAACCCTGGCAGTTCCTTACCGGTCCTGGTTGTTGATTGGATGGGTCACAAGCCAATGAGACGAGGTCTTTCAGAGGGTCCTGTGGATTCAGATGAGGCGGGTACCTTATGGCTGTGTGCGGGAAGTAGGTGGAGGCCCCCTGGGGCAGGATCGAGGTGGTGGGAAAGTGCAGCGCAGAGGAGGGGTGGGGACTTCGAGAGATACCTGCAGAGGGTGAGAGAGAGAGAGAGGGGAAACTGGGCGGCCTTCATCAAAAGCACACACCCAGACCCTCCTGCTCCCGGGCACCTCTGCAGAAACGATTAGAAGGGCCTTCCTCCCTCTTCCTCCTCCTCCTTTCACCTCTCCAGCTTCCCTGGGCAAGTCAGCAAATCCTACAGGGATCTCTCACTCCCGTTCACCTTTAGATCATGTACTGGATGTAAGGGGCCTATGTACCACCAACACTAACCTCCGGGAGGCAACCTCTGGCCTTTGGCCACACAGCCAAAACTTGTTCTCTGATCCCACAAAATTTCACTGCTAGCTTCAGAAAGGCAGTGGCACCTCCCCTGACCTACCCCAAGAGCACGAAGACCCCAAAGTTCCTAGAATTCTGTTAAACCTTTACAAGTGTGGCTCTGCTGGCTTAAATTTTTAAAACCTAATCTTTTTTTTTTTTTTGCTTTTTACAAATAAATCACATGTAACTTTTTACTGGGAAATTTTTGAGAGCGTTTGAGTTGCCTGATAACACTTAACTATTTTTTTCCTTAACTTCCACAATTAATCGTATTCCGAAGAATTTTTGGGGAAAAAAATAGCCAAAATGATCTGTAAAAACCAATTCTACGCTATCCTTTGCCAGAAAGCTTCCTTCCCTTAATCAGTGTTTCTCAACCTTGACAATTTTAAGGCCTGTGGACTTCAACTCCCAGAATTCCACAGCCAGCAATGCTGGCTGTGGAATTCTGGGAGATGAAGTCCACAGGCCTTAAAATTGTCAAGGTTGAGAAACACTGCCTTACTTGGTGCCCTACAGATTACCGTGTTGATGGGAATTTTAGTCCAACATATCTGGAGGGCACCAAGCTAAGGAAGGCTGCCATTAATTTGGACAATTCAACTCAGTTCTATAATAATAAAAACTATCCACTTGGTCTGCAGACACAGTTAAATTCAAAAGATGCTAAACAAATGTAATATTTTAGAGGGGGGAAAAAATCAGATGCAACGCAGAATCATATAACTATAGAAATGGACGGGACCTTAGAGGTCTCCTAGTCATCTCCCTGCCTCAAGTAATGAAACTACCAGAATTCACTCATTTCTGCAAGAGAGATCCAGTTTTCTTCTCATTTTGATAGCTAACATGTTAGGTGCATGTATAAGTAGTCCTCAATTTATGACTCTTCATTAAATGAGGCTTGAAGTTATGGTAGCCTTGAAAAAGTGACCTGTTCTCAACGTTATCCCCGTCACATTATCCTGAAGGTCATTTGAACACAGTTTGGGCCCTTGGCAACTGTTTCATAGTTATGACGGTTGCATTGTCTTGGGGGGTCACATGATTGCTATTTTCGACTCTCCCAAACAGTTTCCAACAAACTAAATTACTTGGGGAAGCCAGATTCACTTAACACCCATGTGACTCACTTATCACCACATGACTTGCTTAACAACTAGGGTAAAAATTATTGTAAATAATCGGGTCCAGTCATGCGTGGACTCGCCTCGTGACTACATCGCTTATCAACCAAAATTCTCTTCCCAATTGTGGTCATAAGTTGAAGACTACCTGTATAAGCAGTGGAGGAATAGTTTAGCTAGCAGTCTTGCCCTCTTCCTATAGTTCATAAAGGCAAATTTCTATTTATTTGAATTATTGCATGGATAAAGTCATATATTATGTGTACCTTCGTCACTGCCTTGAGGTTTCATTTTCATTTCTTTGTTTTGTTTTTTAAGTGCAAATAATTCTGGAAATTGAGAAAAGGGTGGTTCCCTGGAGACATAACAAGCACCTTCCAGCTAGGGCTGTGTGCACAGCTGGATTCTGTTACAGAGTTCCGGGATAATTTCTTCCCAGAGTTAGACCCCTGAGAGGAATAGCTACATTTTTGCTGATTGCAGCAAGGAGGCTTCCAAAGCAATCTTTTCCTCTAATAAAGTTATATTTATCTTAACTCAGGCAGTTTCCTTTGATGGGGGCTGACCTATGCTAGCATTAGCTGCTGAATGTAGTATATTTTTGAACTCTTCCAGAACTATCGAATCTTCCATCCCATCTCCTAAAAGCATTCTGGCAATTGTTGCTTGGGAAGATTAATAGCAACTCTCCCTCAGAGAACTTCTGACAATGCAGCTTCTTCTCGTCTCTTCCCACATGTTGCTGAACTGCCATTCTTAGGAAGAAGAAATTACTATGAAAAAGAATAAGCAAGCAATCTTTTTATAATTAGATCCTTGAGACCTATGCCTACCCACAGGCTGTTCTAAAAATGGCAAACAGGCAGAACATAGGAAGGAAGAAAAACGAGGGGTTTGAATGCTCCCCTAGATGAGGAATTATTATTAAAAAAAAGAAACACAATAAGGAGATACTCATTTCTGATGCACTCATTTTCCATGGAGATGTTTAAAAATAAGCAACATCATTAAAACTATCAGAGTCCCCTCCTAGACACTTGAAATAGTAAAACAAGGATTCCATATCAGGTCCACGTAATAATCATCATCCTTGCCCTTTGTAAGGCAGCTTACATACCACTGTGTACGGCAATGACAGGACGGTGATGCTGAGTGAACAGCCGGGGTGAAGTGTCTTGCGGAGATGGGCTGTTGAAGGGAGACTTGTCCATTTCTGTCTTTTTCACAGTTGGAGAGATGCCTGGAGAAGAGTTTGAGGAAGAGGCCTGTTACAATGTCATTGAAATAGTTGATTGCTGGCATCATTATGCCCTCCAAACTAGTGTTTCTCAACTTTGGCCACTTTAAGGTGGGGGGACTTCAACTTCCAGAATTCCATGGCCAGCATTGCTGGCTGAGGGATTCTGGGAGTTCAAGTCCACCCACCTTAAAGTGACCAAGGTTGAGAAACACGGCTCTAAACAAGGGGTTCCTAATCTTGGCAACTTTAAGACATGTGGATTTCAACTCCCAGAATTCCCCAGCCAGCCATGGGTAGAGAATTCTGGGAATTGAACTCCACACATCTTAAAGTTGCCAAGATTGGGAACCCTTGGTTCAGACTATATTTCTGTTCTTTCTATACAGTTTGGAACTATCCTTTAACTACAACAGCCATGTTTTTCAGAGACTTAACCAAGGGAAAAAATCTTAGCTTTTCTAAGTCATTACTATCATTTACTGCAGTGTCTGGGACTTCCCAACTATAAAAAGGGACCAGTTGTCCTTCATGAAGCACAGTCCATGTATGTGACTTAATTCTATCAAGCATATATTGTTTTTCGTCACTTGGCATTATCCTTTCCCATGTCTGTGTAGCTCTCTCCTTATGGCTCATGGGTGCCGAGCCACTATGAGCCAGTATTACCAGATACTGTTTTAAGATTTACCTGTAGAGGTTTCTCTATTTTAATTTGTGACACATTGATGGAATGGAGTTTGCTCCTAGGTGGTTGTTTGATGAATCCTACAAATGGGCTTCTAGTCTTTCCTATAAATATCAACCCCCTCCCCCCCTTTGTACGCGTTCATGTCTGTGACAGGATGCAGTTAATCTCCTCTATATGCTGACTCAGATTTATCTGGGCCAGTTGGTTTAGTCCATGCCACTAAAAGGTTTAGTCCTTTCTCAGACTCTCATTTGAAAGGATTTTACAGAACATCCAGGTCAGGATTGAAATTAAACCTCTTCTTGCAAAGCATTTAAACATATTTCTACTTGGGGAAGGAATAGATGGGCATATTCCCCCTTTTTTAATTCTTTGTCTAAATGCAGGCAAATAATAACCACAACAATATTGCAATGTTTATTGAATTGATCATTAAGCTAACCGATCAATTATTTTAAAAAAAAACCTTTTGAATGAGAAAAAATAAAATACTCTTAATTTTTTTTAAAAATCCCCAATTTATAACATCTGCAAATGGATAGATAGCATTTTTCTCAAACGAGAAAATGGAACCACTGAAAAGCCAGATTTACTTAATGACTGCAGTGATTCGCTTAATAATGAGGGTAGAAAAGGCCCCAAAATTGGCACAATTCACTTAATAGCTGCTTTGTGTAGCAATGGAAACTCATAAGTCGAGGACTACCTGTGGACAGCTTTCAGAAGCAGCCCTATGTACGCAGCTCAGAGAAACATATGTGAGATGAACAGCTGTATAAATTTACCAAATAAATAAATAAAGATTAAAATACAGTGGGCACATTCCCAAACAATAAGGTAATGGAATTAGAAGAAAATTAATTTTCACTCTTCAAAGGAATTTTACAAAATCATAATGTTCGTTGATTTGCTGGCTAAGTATTTCCTAGCTGTTATCTATCAATATAGTTGCTCTTCTGGCCCATCTCTATATTCGGTAGTTCAGACAGGTCTGCAACAATTACACCGTGGAGTTTGGTGCTCTCTGAGCTTGATTGTTTTCTTGCAGACGTTTTCAATACCCAAACTAGGTAATATATCATCAGTATGTTGATGATGTTACCTAGTTTGGGTAATGAAACAACTGCAAGAAAACAACCAAGCTCAGACAGCACCAAGGACCCACTTATTTCAACCCTGAGCTGCAAATATTATCTTTATGCATCAGAATTACACTCTTCACATGATTGATGAAAGCACCTGGGGACCTGGGATGCTGGTTCTGAAACTAGGAAAAAAGGAAGCCGGCGAAAATGTTAAACATTCTGTGTCTCAAAGGTCCTTTAAAGGTCCTTTAAAAAAGAAAAAAGGGAACTAGACCAGAGGTCCCCAACCTTTCAGGCACCAGGGACCGGTTCCGTGGAGAGAGGTTTTTCCGTGGACCAGAGGAGGTATGGTTTTGTGTGTTGCCTGGGGCTTTGCTTGTTTGTGCAGACCGGTTGCTGGCATGCCCAGTACTGGTCCACAGACTAGGGGATGGAAACCCTTGAACTACATTGTTTTTTTTTTCCTTGAGGAAGAAGAAAAAGACACTTCTCTTCCAAGAAGGTTCATCAATTTTGACTGGCTGGTGGGGTGGTGGAAAGATAGGAAGGACAGAACCTATCCTTCCATTCCCACCCCCCCCACCATCCAGTCACAACTGATGAACCTTCTTTGATGAGGTGAAATGTCTTCTTCTTCAAGGAAAAAAATAATCCAGGTGCCTTTTGAAAAAAAAAAAAAGCACCTTTGAGACAACTATGACTGGGATGACTGAGAATCTCCATAGACATTTATCCTGCAAAGACTCTTGAATCAGCATCTCCTGCACACTTACTCCCTTCCATGTCCTCCGTCCAGTTGCGGCTGCTACTTGTGGGGGAGCTAGGGGAGGCATAGTATTCGCCCCCAGGGCTGGTATCCAGATCATCCTCCATGGAGCCTGACTTATGCCGTTTACTCCTTGTAGGGAAAAAAAGGAGAGATATGGTTTTAATAGCAGTTTAAATATAAGAATAACAACCTCATCTAACCACATCATTGTCTAACTGCACAAGTGTCTTCAAACTTGGCCCTTTTATGACTTGTGGACTTCAGCTCCCAGAATTCCTCAGCCAGCGTGCCTGGCTGAGGAATTCTGGGAGTTGAAGTCCACAGTTCATAAAAGGGCCAGGTTTGAAGACCCCTGGTCTAACACCTCTGCAAGAGCAGCATAACCATTACAGGTAGACCTCAACTTATGGCCACAATTGAGTCCCAAATTTCTGTTGTTAAGTGAGACATTTGTTAGCCCCATTTTTATGACCTTTCTTGCCACAGTTCCTAAGTGAATCACTGCAGTTGATAAGTTAGTAATAGAGGTGTTAGGTGAATCTGACTTCAACATTGATTTTGCTTGTCGGAAGGTTGCAAAAGGTGATCACATGATAGCCATGGTCGTAAGTATGAACCAATTGCCAAGCCTCTGAATTTTGATCACATGACCATGGGGATGCTATAAAGGACGTAAGTGTGAAAAATGGTCATACATCACTTTTTTCAGTGCCGTTGTAACTTCGAACAGTCACTAAATGAACTGTTGTAAGTCAAGGACTACCTGTATAGCCACCATGAAGGGCAACGGCTATCAAAGAAGCTAAATTTTGAAAGGAACTTCCTACTTTTTATACTTCATTGCTCTGGGTAATAATTCACTAAATCCAAGAATTTAGGATTGCTCAGAGGAGCTTTACAGGGTGGAATATGATTCAAAAGAGAGGCAAATGAGGTAAGAAAATCAAGGCAAAGTGAACAAACTGCAATTATTCACTTAACAGACTCCTAACATAATAGAAGGCCAGATCCTGAAGTTGAAACTCAAGTACTTTGGCCACCTAATGAGAAGGAAGGACTCACTGGAGAAGAGCCTAATGCTGGGAAAGATTGAGGGCAATAGAAGAAGGGGACGACAGAGAATGAGGTGGCTGGATGGAGTCACTGAAGCAGTAGGCGTGAGCTTAAATGGACGCCAGAAGATGGTAGAGGACAGGAAGGCCTGGAGGAACATTGTCCATGGGGTCACGATGGGTCGGACATGACTTCGCAACTAACAACAACAAACATAATAATGGAAGGAAAAATAAAGAAGATAAGATGGAAGACGTTTCGAAGGATAGGTTTTTGAGTAGAGAACCTGGGCACAAGAAGTAAAAGAGAAAAAGAACTGTTTTAAGGGATAGAACAGTGACATATTGGGATATATCAGTAGAGTAATAAAAAGAAAAAGGTCATGGAGAGTTTCAGAGGCATCCAGTGGGTCAAGAATGTCAAGATGGCAACTGTGATCATGTGACCAAAGTTCCCGGTCCCAGTCTCTTCCCCACAGTTTGTAGGTAAGAATCAGGAGTTTGTACAGGATCTGGGGGTGAGTTGCAAATCAGGGTAGGGAATGAAGGAATGGCATTACAAAAGGGAAGAGTGTATTATCCCCCCTAGTTGAACACTGACTCGTCTACTGCAAGAATAGCTTTCCCCCTGGCAAGCAGGTCTAGAATTTATAAGCTTCTACATCTAGGATCCCTTCCTAGATGTGTTTTTAAGTTCTTTTTAAATGTTCTTGTCTAGTTTTGTTTTGTCTCTGTTAATTTTTTTCTTTAGTATTTTGTATCTTAATCTTCTGAATAAAATAAAAATTGATTAAAGAAACAAATGGTAAGAGTGTTCTCAGCAGGTCATGGCTACTTAAGTGAAGAAAACTTTTCTCTAATTAAAAGGTGACACAGCATTCCTAAAGGCTGAGATGGTAGCATTTTTGTCTTAAATAGTACGTCACAAGATGAACACCTTTACAATTTCAGTTTCTGATCCTAAGAGCACAGTAGAAGCCGTTGTTTCTGTGATAGAGAAAGAGCTGTCAAATATTCCACCTTCTGCTTTCTCAAGCAATTTGCATCCCAGATGTTTGAGACATGTGGATGTGATGTGCTTGAATAAGTCAGGATCATGAGTCAGGTTGTTTAAGAAGTGAGAAAGGAAGGAGAAAAAGTGAAGCATGAAAGCTACAGCCTTCTAGTTAGAAGAGAGACTGCATTAAATCAAAATCAGAATAACAGAGCTGGAAGGAACCTTGGAGGTCTTCTAGTCCAACCCCCTGCTCAAGCAAGAGATCCTATACCATTTCAAACAGATAGCTATCCTTCTCTTCTTAAAAATCATACATTGTCTGCGTATACAGGAACTCCTCAACTTACAACAGTTCATTTAGTGACCGTTTGAAATTACAGTGGCACTGAAAAAAGTGACTGATCACCGTTTTTCACACTTACAAACATTGTAGCATTCCCATGGTCATGTGATCAAAATTCGGATGTTTGGCAATTGGCTCATATTTCTGACGGTTGCAAGGTCCCAGGGTCATGTGATCACCTTTTGGGACCTTCTGACAAGCAGTCAATGGGGAAGCCAAATTCACTTAACAATTGTGTTACTAACTTAATAACTGCAGTGATTCACTATGGCAAAAAAGGTCAAAAAATGGGGGCAAAACTCACTAAACAATTATCTTGTTCAGCAACAGAAATGTTGGGCTCAATTGTGATCGTAAGTCGTGGACTACCTGTAACTAGAAAATAATTTCTAGTTGCAAGAAATGGCTGGATAAAATCTTGAAGACCTGGATATGACCCAATTTTGTGTGACCTGGCAATCTTCCAATTCCATCCGTTGCATCCTCAGTGAGGTAAAAGTTTTATAAACAAACACACACACACACACACACACACACAAAGCTAGTTTAACACATACACACAAAGGGGGAGACACAGAGAGAGTGTGTGTGTTAGTTTAGACTTACCCACTGGAGGAAGTGCTGGGGAGCGTCCGCCTCATCCCTGTACTCGAGGGATTCAGGTCATATGCTAAGTGCCCTTGCAACTCTCCCAAAGAGAAATTTGGACCTGTGCCTGTCACCACTGGTGCTGTGAATGACAGAGGGAGAAGAACCATCAATATTACAAAGGGATAATGAATGATTCATAAAACAATGATTCGGGATGGAATTCTCTGCTTCCATCAGTGGTGCTCTGTCAGAGATGTTTCCCAACTATGGCAACTTTAAGATTGGTGGACTCCAACTCCCAGAATTCCCTAACCAACACAGCTGGATGTGGAATTCTGGGAGTTGAAGTTCACACATCTTAAAGTGGTTGAGATTGAGAAACACTGAATTAGACTGTCAGGTGGATGAGGGGATTCTGGGAGTTGAAGTCCATCCATCTTAAAGCTGTCAACGGAAACACTGGATTATGGAGTGAAGTGATGTGATATAGTAAAATAACTAGATGCTATCTATAAATATGCCCTATAAACATATGCCTACATATATATAATGTCACCCCTGCCCTGCTCTTTGTTAGACTACACATACCTAGTTCCTTCAATCGTTCATTGTATGATTTAGTCCCCAGATTCCTTATCACCTTTGTTGCGCTTCTCTGCACTCTTCCTAGGGTCTTAGCTTCTTTTTGTATCATGGTGACCAGAACTGGGTGCAGTTGTTCCAAGTGTGGTGATCATGTGTAATATGTTTGTGGCATATAGGAGCCCTTGACATGGGGACTGTTGCATTTTGAACCAACTGCGGTTTCTGAGTTTTCTTTAAGACAGCCCTATTTAGAGTGCATCGCCATTGTCAAACTGGGTGGTGGTGAGAACATGAATCACTGCATGAAATTCTCCTGCATCAAGAAGCACCATACTTGGTGCAACAACCACAGCTGGACAAAATCCTTCTAGCCATGGCCTTCTCCTGCCCATCCAGCAGTAACCATCAATCCAGGAAGGTTCAAGTCATGAAATTATTCCCTCAGGAGCAATGTCATTCCTTCAGAGACAACACTAGAATTGGCAGGGAATGTGGTTCTGGAAACAGTAACTTTAGGAGATGATCAAGCTGAGTCCAAGGGAGGGGTCAGCCTGGAGTCCCTACACCAGTGATGGCGAACCTTTTAGAGACCGAGTGCCCAAACTGCAACCCAAAACCCACTTAGGCATCGTTGGGTGCCAGGTGGGTGTGGCCCATTGGCTGGGTGTGGCTCATTGGGTGGGTGTGGCCCATTGGCTGGGTGTGGCTCATTGGGTGGGTGTGGCCCATTGGGTGGACGTGGCTGCGGTGGTAACAGCAGACTGGGTGGGACTAAAAAGTTCAATCAATCAATTCCAACTTTGCAAGATCTTTTTTTTTCCCTGCGAGAAGTTGAAATTGACTGATTGATTGAACCTTTTTTTTTTTTTTGCACACGGCGGTGGAGGCCTAAAGCGAAAAGGTTTTATAAAACCCACCTGAAGGCCTAGGACTGGGGCGACGGTGCGCGTGCCCCCAGAGAAGGCTCTGAGTGCCGCCTCTGGCACCCATGCCATAGGTTCGCCACCACTGCCCTACATCCTTGAAAGAAACCTACGTCCAGCCCCCTTGAAGTCCTTTAACTTTTATCTGGCACCAATTCACATTGATAGTTAGTAGATCAAATTCTTGTCCCCAAAGTGCTTTTTCCAAAAGACAACTGGACATTCTTCGTCTTTTTCTTTGAAAACATTTTGCTTCTCATTCAAGAAGCTCCTTCAGTTCTAACAGTTAGAACTGAAGAAGCTTCTTAGATGAGAAGTGAACTGTTTTCAAAGAAACAAACCAAGGAAGTCCAGTTGCCTTTTGGAAAAAGCACTTTTGGGACAGCCATGAACCTGGATGATTGAGAATCTCCACAGACATCAGATTCTTGTGTATAGTTTGCATGGAATACATTCACAGTACTTTTGAACCCTATCCTGGCTCCTGGTTTTGTGTGCCTGAAAGTAACTCCATCTTGCCTGGGTTCAGATTCAGCTTGTTTCCTCTCATCTAGAACCTAATAGCTTATTGACAAAGTGTCAATGGTATAGCCAGCTTGAGCATCACCAGTACATTGATGGTAGCACTATCTGAATCAACAGATGATTTTTCCCAGTAGCTGGGAAATAGATATTAAAAGTAAAAATACCTATATAATTTTTAGTAGAAATTTGTTAATGTTTACAACGAGGAAAAAGAATGGATTATATTAACAGTGGGAAAAATTAACAAATCTTACTTATACCTGCATTTCAAACAATGTAATATAATTGACAGAAGTAAGAATGAAATATGAAAAAAAAAACTAATGAGGATACAAGCTACTCACTCCGGGAAACTTGAATAAGTTCTGTGACACTGAATACACCTGACGTAACAAAATTCTCTTGGTAATCTGCTGCATCTGCAAAAGAGATTTTGGACTTATTCAGAAACTGCTACAATAATCAGGTTTTTTTTCTGAATTGTTCAATGTTTTCAGTGTCAGGTTTTGACTCAGAGAAAGAAACTTATTATACTATAAATCAGGTAATTAGCATATAATCTTAAATATTCCAGACTGGATACTTTTTAAATAAACTCTTTTCTCCCATTTATCATTTATCCATTTTTTTTAGATTAGAAAGAACAAGAGTCTATGAAAGCAGCCAGCCAACGAAGTTTGACCCTAAAATAATTTGACATTATATAATAGCCACTGGCTATGTCAGTTTTGGATGATGGAATAATAGTTTTAACAGCATCAGGTTGAAGAAGGCCTTTATATAAAAAGTACCGAATTGAAGTGGTTTTTACAAACTGGCTGTCAGTCCCCTTCTGAAACTCATTTATGTTTGTACTGATGTCTGTATTTAACTGTGACATGATTGGCTCTATTGATAGGTTTACTCATTTGTCTATCCATCTTAAAGTTGCCAAAGTTGAGAAACACAGATTTAGAGATTTGCTGACCGAGGCTGGTTGAGGATGTTCATTCCATGTTGTTCTCAAGGCTGTGATAGAGTCTGATTTGGTTTGGAATAAACCAAGGTTGTTTTTTTACTAAATTGAAAGGGTGGGAAGAGACAGAACAGCACCCCAAACCAATCCTATTTCTAAGCCTGCTTTGAAGTGCTTCTCCATTACTAATTCATTTCCTGATTGGATCAACCCTTGAGAGAATCCATCCTTCCATCAATCTGTTCCAGGGTACCATCCCACCTAATTCTTTCAGGGTTTGTATTGCAGGTCCAGGAAACCACAAACCGACGGCTTCAAACATTCACCCACACCTTTCCTCTGTCCTTTTTTTTTTTTTGCTGTTGCTCACCCAGCGTGATTATGGGTTTACTATCCTCCTGGTCAGAACCGATTCCCGTCCTGGGACTGCTGCTTTGATCTGAATCTGAAAAGAAAAGAATTGTGCATTATATTTTACAGCTCTACACAACCGGGGCCTACACACGTACATTTGTCTTCTTTTTGGTTTGGTTTGTTTTTTTTTCAAAAGTTGATTACCACTACTGAAAAACTTAGAACAACATTCAAGGCTGGCTGACCAAAACACAATGTCAGAATTTCATTAGACAAAGAGAGGTGGCTTTTTCAGACAGCCACTAATTTTGGGAGGCAAGAACATGCATTCAAGAGTTAGTTTTAATATTATATTTTCGCTGTAAGGGAAAAAGATTTGTGTAAAGTTGGGGAGGGGGTCGGGTCTCCTGCCTGATAACTCTCATATAGCTTGCGGGATTTTAATACTAGACACTTTGACTTAGAACACAGAATCATAGGGCTGGATGGGACCTTGGAGGGCTTCTAGTCCAAGCTCCTGCACCCTTATACCATCCCAGTCAAATGGTTGTCCAGTCTATTTTTGAAAATCTCTAGTGATAGAGTACCCATAACTCTAGGAGGCAAGCTGTTCCATTGATTCATTGTTCTCCCTGTCAGAAAATTTCTCCTTACTTCTAGGTTGGATCTCTCTTTGACGAGCTTCCACCCGTTACTTCTTGTCCTGCCCTCTAGTGCTTTGGGGTCAAGCCCTTCTTCTCTGTGTGAGCCCCTTTTGGGTGATGGCAAAGGAAGGTCACTGGCTGGGTCGCCCCAGGCCACTATGGACTCCTCTTGGTAGCAACCTTTGCTAAGACCCTCGGTCTTCCTTCATCAAGGTAAAGATGAACAGAGGCCAACCACAAGTCCAGGGCCTACTAGGTTGCTACAGCAACCGCCAAACATTAATGGGTGCTTGCAGTAATGTAATTTTTGCAGTAATGGCTGCCCTCCTCCCCATAATCAGCCCTCCCTTGACAGCACTCACTTTGCAGCCCGGGTGGGTGATTAACGAGCCGCCAATGCAGATGAAGCATCTCCCTCCTCGGCCTCCCTTCTCTTCCCTTTCCTGGACTCTCAGCCACGCAGGCAACACCTGACCTCAGAACTCTGTTGGCGCCACTAATGCCAGGCATGTGATGCCACTGCGGATCCTAACCCCGTGCCGTCTATTTAAACATGATGAAATAAACATTGCCCATTGATGCAATCCTCCCCCCCCCCGCCCCGTAGAGATGGGAAATACATGGGACTGTCTTAAGCTTCATTAGCTCTTTGTCCTGCAGGATTGAGTAGAGATAGATTCCGTTGTGTCTCGAAGAAATTTGGTACAGGGCAGCAATGAAGTTTCTGATTCTGCTTTCAAGAGTTAGCAATATCCAAGAATCCTTTCCTGGAGAAATCAAGTTGCTGAAAAGGAAGGCACTTGATGGAAGGAGGAAGGCAGCAGAAAATAATTTTTGTGTAAAGGAATTTGTGTGGGTTCTGATCGTGCTCAGAGACTCTTTTTCTTAATGCTCAAATCATGGGCTATTCCACAGGGCACTTTGGGGCAATTCCTGGACCGGTGTCACCTCTCACTGTCACCCTTCAGCAGCTGAGTTGATTTTCGTAGGGGCTTCACAGGCTGAAATCTCAAATTGCAGGATTTCTGAAATCTGATGTGCTGAATTCCACGGAGTTGGTGGAAACTCCCTCTTGGAACCGCCTCCCTAGTTCCGTGGCTCTTTTTCCTACTCTAAGCTGCAATGCTTCCAAAATGCCATGAAATTCTCATAACTGCACTCCAGGGATTTTGGAGTGGTTTCTCCCCCTTCCCTTCCCCCAAGGGCCCCTCTCCAAAACCTCATGGATGGTGAAAAAATGGTAAGGGATGAGGGAGTTGGCCATTTTTTAGCACACTTCTACGTGTGGCTAAAGGGACAGCAAGTTATAACTGGCCATTGTTGTAAGGGCTGTGGTGAGTACGATTGGAAACTGTTGAGAGAATAAATACAGGGTTTTCAGGGTGATGAGAGTGGCTGTGTAAAAATGTCCATACAGGTAGTCCTTAACTTATGACCACAGTTGAGCCCAAAATATCCATTGCTAAGCAGTTGTTAACTGAGTTTTGCCCTATTTTATGACCTTTTTTTGCAACAGTTAAGGATATCACTGCAGTTGTTTGGTAAATCATGTGGTCGTTAAGCAAATCTGGGTTCCCCCTTGACTTTGCTTGTCAGAAACCAGCTGGGAAGGTTGCAAATGGTGATCTCATGATCGCAGAATACTGCAACTGTCATAAATACATACCAATCATCAAATGGACGAATTTTGATCATGTTACCATTGGGATGCCGCCAGGATTGTAAGTGTGAAAGATGGTCATAAATCTCTTTTTTCAATGCTGTTGTACCTTTGCACGGCCACTAAACGAATGGTTGTAAATCAAGGACTACCTGTAATCTGCTATCTGAGCCATTGTTTTGCAGCAAGATCTAGGTGGTAGATCAGAAGACTGTAGTAAAGAATAAAATAGAGCTTCTTGTAAGTTTGAAACTTGCCGATTACTCAGATGGTAGCAACTGAGTAATATGCGGGCTGGGGAATTCTGGGAGTTGAAGTCCACACATCTTAAAGCAGTGGTTCTCAACCTTTTTAATGCCGCGACCCCAACCGGTCGTAAGTCGAGGACTAAACCGGTCGTAAGTCGAGGACTAAACCAGTCGTAATTCGAGGACTAAACCGGTCATAAGTCGAGGACTACCCAACCAGTCGTAAGTCGAGGACTTTCCCTGCCCGGGAGCGCCGCGCATGCTTGGTTCCGCCTCCTGCGCCGGCCAAGGCGTAGCTGGCAAGCGGCAGAGACGGAGCAGGCCGACCACCAGCTGGCCCAGCCCAAGGGAGGTAAGGCACCCGCTGGAAAAGGGGAAAAAAATGGCGGACAAAAAAAATGGCAGACAAAAAAATGGCGGACAGCCTTGCTTGGCGACCCCCGTGAAATGGTCGATCGACCCCAAATGGGGTCCCGACCCACAGGTTGAGAACCACTGTCTTAAAGTCACCAAGGTTGGGAAATCCCGTCTTACGCCATCATTTAAAAAAAAACAAAAACCTGCATGCAGTCTTCTGAATGAAAAGCATAAATTCTCCTCCTAATGCAGCAGCATTCGCACTGCATCATTCTTGCACAGGCCCTGCTCTTACTACATCTAACTAATTCCCTTCTCAAAGGAAATGCACTGTGCACACAGTCAGGTGCCCTTTTTGCCCGCCAAAAGAACTTCATTTAAACAGAGGGGAGAAATGCTGATGCTCAGGGTGGGACCATCAAAAGGTATGACCCTTTTTCAAAACCATCCAGAAATTGGCAGGCTTAGATGAGGGGAGGTGATTAGATAACTGTGGAAGTTCCTTTGAATGGGACCAGTTCTGAATCAAAGGCAAGGGCTGAACCTCTGGACTTGAGGAAGGAGCCAGAGGGACTCGTGCAATGAAGGCCACTGAAACAAAATCCTCCTCTTCCACCCTTCCCACCTCCTGCTTTCCCTTCCTCATCAGAAATACAACTCACGCCTCACATGGGCTACATCCCAGAACTCCTCGTTCTCTCTCTCTCTCTCTCTCCCTGCTTTTCATCTTATCTAAAAATAATCAAGCTCTTTGGGCAGTCGGTGCAGACGCTGAGGTCAGCACTATAGGTTCCTACTAGCATCCTGGATTAGCCAACCCACCACCTCCTGCTTCCAATCGAGTCTCTTTTTACTTTCTCCCCATTGCATGAATACACACACACACACACACCTCTTTCTTATGCAGCAACCCTTGGCTAGAATCCACACGTCCCTGAATATCCTTGATGCAGCCAGGAACATTTTAAAGTGTCTTTTTATTATTCCATCCCCCTCCCCAAAATGAGTGTGTGTGTGTGTGTGTGTGTGTGTGTGTGTGTGTGTGTGTGTGTTCAAAAGTGAGAGAGATGCCTGAGCTGCTCCAGTTCACCAGACCCAGCCAATTTCCCCAAGATTCTAGTATTTCTTTTATTCCTATCATTATTCTTATGATCTACGTACAGTATAATAACAGCAAAGTCATTCTACCTGCACAGGTAGTCCTCGACTTACAGCCACAATTGAGCCCCAAATTTTTGTTGCTAAGCAAAGACAGTGGTTAAGTGAGTTTTGCTCCATTTTACAACTTACTTCTCACAGTTGTTAAGTGAATCACTGAAGCTGTTGTTAAGTTAGTAACACGGTTGTTACTTCCCCAACATCTTTGCTTGTCAGAAGATTGCAAAAGGCTAGGGTGACCCCAAGACACGGCAACCCTCATAAATAAGACCCAGTTGCCCAATGTCTGAATTTTGATCATGTGATCATGGAAATGCTGCAACATAAGTGTGAAAAACAGTCATAAGTCACTTTTTTCAGTGCCGTTGTAACTTCGAACGGTCACTTAGCCAAATGTGTTATAAGTCGAGGACTACCTGTATAGACTTGCACATTTGCCAAATAGAGCACCAGGAGGAATATCACAATTCAGTTGTGAAGGGTGGGGGAAGGAGAAGGTGCACCACTCAGAGTAAGAGATAGGTGTGCATAATGACCATAGAATCATACCAATATGTTACATGAAATGTGTGGATAAAAATATAGCTAGTGAATTGAAAATTAAAGTATTCCTTGTTTAGTAACAACAATTGGGACCAGCAACGTGCATTATGTGAAGCAGTCATTAAGTGAAACCATGATATGGTTATGATTTTATTTCAGTTTTCCTAGGTTTTGCAGACCTGCAAACATCGTAAATGCAAGGACTGGTCAAAATGTTACTTTTCCATTACTATCATAACTGTGAAGGTTGCTGTACAAGGCAGTTGCTAAATGAGGATTACCTGACTTATATCATTGATGAGCCTCATTGTAGATTTTAGAGTTCCTCATTGCACCACAGAAATTTGGTAGCCCTTCTTCTTTCTCAGTTTATAAATTCTCAATTTATAAAGGCAAATCAGTCTTTTAATATAGTTTACGGGGGACTCCTTGTCCAATTGTTTATGTTTTAATTTTTTTCTGCTCTGCCCCATCTACAATA